TCCGGAAAACCAGATCAGGGTCTACCCAATAAAGAGAACTAAATCAAAAGATAAAATGACGAAAACCTTTTAATTCATGTTTACATTCTAGTTGGTATGCACACCGGATTGACGAAGATCACTGCATTCGCACAAAAATAGTCTGAACACTAATTAAAACCACAGTTTACGTAACCCGTGAGATTTTCACAAGATACTGGGAGATCTCGGTTTGAAGACACCAAATGTCTTAGATATGTCATGTTTGCAAATAAGCAGTTCCGTTGTTTGACAGCTCTAGACAGGCTTATTAATAATGCACTCCATTTAGTTCTTCTGTAGATTATTGGGGCAATTTATAAGGCAATTGTCACAGTGCTTATTTTTGTTTCAGGCAAAACAACTGTTTGCAGTTAGCAAAACATCATTTCCAACTGAGCATCCGTTGCAGTGAGGAAGTTCACTAAATTCACAAGATAGGTTATGTCGGGACTATCCAAGTCATTCATACATATAAACAACGAGGAACCTACTCGGGGTATAATGAGGCTCGATAAATGTTTCGAAAATATTTTGAATTCTTCAGAGAATGTGCTTTATCTCATATAAGTAATGCTTACCACGAGTGAACGGAAAAAGCCCAGAAACCTGGTTTGTCTCTTAAAGCATCTCAGCCATTCTGTTTATCACTCATATATCACAGAGATAGTGTGAGATGTTATTCAAACTTGATTGATTTGTTTAATAATACCACGCCTAACCAAGCGGGGCCTTAAGTGGTTCGCCACCCCAAGTCCGGCGGCTTAGATTACCGGTTTTCATGACGGAGCAACAGGTCTTCCTGACCACGGGGTTAGCCCCGTCTGTTGTTCACCACACAAATGTGTGTAGTCAAAAAAATCCCAGAGGCTTAAGCGTTAGTCCACTCTGTGGGAATGAAAACCGTTGACTTGATAGAATCCGTCTTGCGTTTCATCCTGCAACCACTAATCGTGAAGAATGATTATGTGCGCGATTTTATGCTTATTCTGGTGTGTTACAGAAATGCGCTCTTTGGTGGAGAATCAGAACCTTCTAGACAGACGGAAAAGGAAAGCCATCTCCTGGTGGTTTAAACTTGTCCTGAGAAGATCAATCAAAAGGCCAGATTTAAAAAGAAACAGCCAAATGAAATTCTTCAGGAGAACTTTGTCACGTGTTTCTTATCCTTCCACTGATCTGCGGCCTCACAAAGCGCTTTTAATACCACGTTTCACAGATAATGAATTCACACAAATACATCCACATCACCGTTTGATCGTTCATTTGGCAATATTTTCCTAAAATCTGACTGTGTGAGTTGTCCAGGGGCTCTGTTTTGTCATCCTGGTATTTGTCATGGTTGTACTTGCCAAAATTTGCTTTTCCACCTTTCCTGAATAATTTCTGAACGGAACACGTAAAGCCACCATAACGTTCGCCCAAATACAATGTTTCTGAGGGATTTTCTCCCTTTTTTGCATCCAGGGCTAATGTCTTAATTGCATTTCTCGTACCGAATCGCCGTCAACTTTAGTGGCAAACGCGGCAGTAGACATAACGACGCCGCTATCCAAGTTGTTTTCGATAGCTTCACCTGTTGACGGATGAGAGTTGTACAACTGTGCAGGGCGTCACCATTCACTTCATCTCCAGTCGTATCTGCAATAAAATTTCTTTCATTTACAACTCGCACATACTCAGTACAACTATTCAACGATTCAATCAGTTCGGAAAACAAGTACGACCTCACTTACTTCCCAAGTAGCACAATGTAGCGCATCGATCCTCTACAATTAGCTACTTATGAGCTACATGAGCTACATTTGTTAATAAACAGTCATTTAACTTTAAAACATATTCATAATATTTGCCTTTAGTTTGAAGACTCGTTTTCATTCGTAAATCAATCAAATTGCTCTTATTTTTAGAGTCAAACCGCCCTGATTTTTGTTTTAATTTACGGCGGGAAATGATAGATTGAGTGACTCTTATCTTCTTCTGGGTTTTCTTCAGCGAATGCTGTGCAGACGTTTTTATTGTTTAACGTCCATCGGATAAAAAGTTAAATTTTGTGATATATTTATTTTATTGTTGTTGGTTTTGGTACTGTTATCATATTTTTTCCGAGAATTATTTCGATAAACATACGAAATACGCAATTTTATTCATCACTTGAAGACTTGGAGCTTCTTTAAGTGTTATCCATATCTCGCTGGACATGTTATCAAAACAACGGATGGAACAAGTTAAGTGTTCCGTTTATAATGAGGCAAGCATTTATGAATACAGAAAAAGGTCTCCAAGATGTGTGGATAAATTAATTGTGAAACATGTATTTCATTCGCAATACGTTTTTTATAAGTACAGCCCATTTCCTTCCATGTAAACTCAACGTGGAGCAACTCGAAGAACGAGATTTGTCAGATGACAATATATATGACACATTTGGAGGTTCCGGTTATGTTATCGATTGAGTACTTAGTTGAACAATTGACGCAAAGGGTGGCAAAGACGTGGCGCATATAGTGAAACGTGCCATGCCTACGGTACTGTATGATTCGTTAGCTGTGCTGATGAAAACACGTCAATGTTTTCCGGAAAATACAAGCTTCTGGTCGTTTGTTTATTGGTACGTAGAGTAAGATATGCATTACTTCATTAGATGCCGTTTGGATGAACCCCAGATTTATCAGTGCTTCAATGGATTGTGTTGAATACGAACTACGCATGTGATTCAAAGATACGGCGGACAGACATACCACCCAAAAATTGTGACAGGAATGTTTTACACAGTAAATGTAATATATGTTTTGCTTTGATAATGTATATCAGCAAATAAATGGTCTACTTCGATATGCCAAATATCTGCATGAAATCCTGTGATTACAGTAGAAGCTTGTTTGAAGTTACCTTCTAATTAGGATTTAAATGATACAGTAATGGTGATGGAAAATAAAAGGGATTTATTCAATCATTCAATAAAGTGTGTTGTAATCACCAAAAAATATGTCCTTAAGCCCATTGCAAGATAGTAATATCACGGGAAATATGGGGGTTATAAGGGAATAGAGAACAGCGTAAACGGAAATCATAAAACAGAATTTCCAAAAACGTAGCTCATGTTAGCCGGCAAATAGCGCGCCGTTTGAAAGCAGCGTCTGTCTTATCCATTGCGGTCGCTGGAAGGGAATTCCATAGTGTTGTTGACATCCACGAGAGTTGGTTAACTAACAGAATACCAACGGACTGAAGTTCCCGCAACGTGAAAGGGTGCCACCGCGTGCGGTCTTCTGTCCGCAAATGGAAGTATTGTCGTAGCTCCGGGCCTATATCGCCTCTCAGGTTCTTCGTCAGACAGAGGGGATTTCTCCTGAGGCGCCAATACGCAACTGGCAACAGACCAGTAGCCTCTAGACGACCTTCATACCTGGTCCCGCGTAGTCCAACAATCAGTCTGGTGGCGGCACGTTGTACACACTCCAACTTAGCCAGTTCATCGGCCATGCATGGGTATGTCGCCGCACCACCATACTCAAGTCTTGGTCTGACATTGGAAGAGTACAGCGGCCTGAAAGCGTCCATCGTGAACTGGCTGAAAAAAACCCGAATATGCCCCAGAATGCTCCATGTGCTAGCACAGACCCGATGGGTGTTTTCTCGGATGTTTAGTGATGACGTAACTATAACACCCAGGTCTCGTTCGCACGATGTTCTGCGCAATGTGGTTCCCTGGAAGTTGTAGACTACGTCTGAGTCAGCACGCCCGAAGTGCAGGTGAGCATACTTTGCGGTGTTCACTGGGATAGCCCAGGTATACGCCCACTGACCCCGGTTGTTCAAATCCGCTTGAAGAGACTTTTGATCATTCGGATCCTTGATTGTACGCCAGATTTTGATGTTATCTACATACATGAGAGATGGGCTGCACAGTTGTTGAAGGCCTTGTTGAGATACCGCGCGGTTTAAATTTTTGAACTGCTCTGCTGCTTACGATTTTATTTGCATTGAGTCGTGAAATAACCTTAGTAATTTCACAAATTTACCGGATCTTAGTATTTACTAAGGTTTACTTTTATTCGGAGAATTTAACTCGCCGACAGGTGTGTTTTCTTTAATAATGTTTTGACCGCTTTTGTGTGGCCCGTTAGTGTGGTTTTTTTCTGTTTTGTAGTTGTTCACCGATAAGCTTGGAATTTGTATTGCACGCTCTTTCCCATTCGATAACGAATCACTTTG